TGATGTAACAATTACATGTTAATGCATCAAGATCAAACAGGAAATAATATAACAATGACCGGGTTTCAATACTTTCCCTTAAAATTCTGAAAGGAGGACTTTTATTTGAAATGAAGTATTTTCACCTGGTCGCCTTCTGCGCTTCTGGTCCTCGAGGAAAGCGATCACCTTCTTCGGGTCTGGGCTGTCAGCGTACCTGGAGACAGAGTGCCCCCATGAGGCCAGTGAGGTTAATGTTTAATGTTTTTATTCACTTAAATCGATTTTTCAAGGAAAGTCTGGAGATGGGGCCGGCGTGGTGATAAATGAATGGGATAATCTCTGAGCTTGGAAAATGCTGCAGCTAAACTTTTGTGATAATACTGCGCTGCTGCGTTATTTTGATGCATAACAATAAAAGCGTGGTGTGAAATGCAGGGTTGAAACTCAAGTTACCAGTAAGGAATTTCAGCCCACAGCTCAGGGTGCTGCAGCACCACCTGCAGGTTTCCATAGGAAACGATGACCTGCTGCCCTCTGGACCAACAGGAACGCAGAGTGGGGGTCTCCTGCACATATACACATAAAATTTATTAAATTCAGTAAAGAGGATGTATTCATTTGTTTAAGACAGGGGTCCCTAATAAACTGGCAACCGTGTGTATACATACAATAATATGATTATTAACTTTATTCTTATATCACTGACCCTCTCATACACACAATGCAGCAAATTAAATTAAATTAGGATAAGAAGGCAATTTTTCCATGTTAGTACATTTAATTCTGTCCCAAAGCGGCAGCTCTGAGAATTGTGGGAAAGACAGTCAGCTAAGAATAACGACGATCAATCTGTCCGAGCCTTATAAATCGAGTTATGGTCACTATTTTAGCTTTCAGTTCCATTCTAATTAGTTTAAATCTGTTTTCTTCTCTTATCTAACTTTGATCATTTACCCAATAAGTCAATTTAAATGCCCATCAAAAGTTCCCAAAGCCCAAAGTGAACTCTTCAAGCGACAATCCAAAACATAATTATAACAAATAATACTGAGAAAAACAGCAAATTCTCACTTCTGACATCAAAAGACGTATTTTGATTTGTGACTTGAATTATGAATCTATTATCAAAAAATATTTTTTTATATTCTCTGTGAATCAACTGACTAGTCAACTTTCTACCTTTTTCTTTTACCTGTGAGGAGCAGAGTTTTTCTCCAAACAGTGTGATGATGTTCTCCACAAGACGGGCGTGATCTTTGTCCGTCAGCGAATCGAAACGCGAGCAGGAGATGATCACGACCTCTTTAGGATGAGCGTCCAGCCAGGCAGCCACTTCGTCCAGAGCCTCCTGCAAACAAACTGATATCCTTATTACAGAGAATGCAGTTTTTTGCCTCTGACTTTTGCATTCAGTGTAGTTTGCGTACCTTGACGGCCATCAGCGAGTAGATGCCGTGGGCGAAGAACAGCGTGTTGCCTCCCGCAGGCTTCCTGGCGATCCGCAGGTCCAAGAACCGAATACCGAGGTCACACTGATCGCTGAGGACCGACTGCTACACTCACATACAGCGAGAGAGCAAGAGACAACAAAAACAATAATGTGCAACTATAGTTTATCCACAAAAATAAACTTTTTAATAATTGCAAGTGTCTGTAATTCCAGTGCCACCAATACCTTGCTCAACAGCAATGGCAGAATAACTCAAAATCTTAGACCCTGTTCCCTACATGCATGCTGGGTTATATTTGTTGTAGGATGTGTTTAGTTTTATCCATAAATATTACGAGACAGCTGCACCACCGCTGGCCCCTGCATCTGTCCCCTGGCCTGTAAGCACATATGTGTGTGTGTGTGTGTGTGTATGGAGGGGGGGGTGCTCTTGAACCTGTGTGGTGGCCCAGCGGTACACACAGGGTCGAGTCCAGCAGGGAAACAGCCTGTCGAATACTCTGAGGAGGCAGGGCTCTGATCTGAGCACGGGAGAGGACACGTCCAGGCAGAAGGACATGCTGTCATGGCTCCCTGGGGAGAGGGGGAGAGGGAGAGAGGGAGAGAGCCGGATTAGTAAAAGGTTTAAAGGTGAATCTATAATCTATGTGTTTATAGATTACAGGTTATATCAGGATTACTAATGCTAAATATCCCGGTGTACCCACTTCCACCCTAGATTTGGCTTTACCGGGCAGGGCCAGGTTCCACAGCGGGACGTCCAGCAGCTCCTCGGGGAGACGGGACATCCAGTCCGGGTTCCCTCCGAGCTGCAGCCGCTGCTCCTCCTCCTCCATGTTTCTTCTTATCATGTCATCACGGAGCTCGGACAGGCTCCGTCTCTCTGTTGTTCAGGGGAAACTCAGGGTTTGTTTACAAAGACTTCCGGGTGCAACGCTTCAACGACATAAACCACTTTTCCGGCTTTCTAAAAATAAAACCGCGTGTGGAAAATGTTTCGCTTTCAAAACAAAAGCACATTCACAGCGAAAGAGCCCAGTTACAGCTTCATTTGAGCTCCGGGTCACTCTATTCTAATTAGATACAGTAAGTTTTAGTTTAATTTTGCCTTAAACAACATGCACACGAGATTATTTTTGCAAAAAAGAAGAAAGTCGACAATTTCCAGTCGTCACTGCCTTGTAGTTACTCACTTTGACCACTTGAGAGCAGTATTCAGCTTATTTTAATCAATATATATATATATAATATTCATATTGATTTTAAATTAAACTACAGGCAGTTAATTACAATCACACCTCCAATAACACAGTATTAAAACAACTTTAATACAGAATTAGCACCATGTTAATAATCTCAGTATTTATGTTATTTTAATATACTAATAAAAGTTGCTACATTTATCATTGGAGGAGTGAAAACTTCATTAAATTGCTGTGATTTATTTATGAAGTTTCTGACCCTAACTGAACTCAAAGATTACATTTTATATGTGAAATAATATATTATCACAAATTTTAATTACTTCATTATTTGTGTATTATTATTCTGAGGTTTGTAAAAAAAAGTTTGCCCAGTTTTTTGATAATTATATTCTTGATGAGGGTTACGAACAGATGATGTCACACATTGTTAAGCCCTATGAGATAAATTGTGATTTTTAAATATGGGCTGATTGATTGATCAAAAACCAATGCCAGAATTGTTAAACCTGTATCCCTCTGTACAAAAATGTATAAATTATTGCCACAGTTCATGCAGTTATGATTTAAAATGGCTGCCATCTTCTTCAGCAGGAAGAGCATGTGACATTCACACCGTTTATTCAGGATTGCTTCAGTCAGTTTACTGTTAAATTAAATAAAACAATCACCAAATATAACAAATAATCTGAGAAATGTTTAAATAAATTACTGGTAAGAATGGAAGGCAGGAAACAAACTTCCAAATCATGTTAGAATTTCCTGGTATTGTTTCAGTCTTCCACTGAATCCCTGTTACATAAATGTAGTTAATTTCTTTTTCACATGAGTTAGTCTATGGTGATTAGAGGAACCCATTCGATAATCCACTGTGACCCCAAACTGGTCCTTTCTTTGAATTTCAAATTTGATTTTCACAAATATTTAGTCAAGTTCTAAAGAAATCTTCACACACCATCATCTTAAGGGTTAAAAAGTTATTCACAAACATTTGCTCCTTGTACAGGAGGACACGCTGAATTGTAGTTCTTAGAAAACTTTTACCTAATCCCGAATATTTTCTATGTCACGACATTTGCTCTTTAAAATCATGCATTTTAACCCACCAAAGTTTTATTCTTGAGTCTGTAGCTGCTTTAGTTCACTTGGGTCTTATATAATTTAATACATTATGTATATTTATAAATATATAATCATAAAAACCTGCTCTTCTTTATCATTATTCTATTTATATGTCTGCAAATCATTGGAGCATTGTTGGGCATTTCATAGTGTTTTTAACATCATATGTAATTTTAGTCAATTCAAAATTCAAATCATGTTTTCACAGCACATTTAAGGCTCTATTTTAATGATCTATGTGCAATAGGATTAAAAGAATAAATAGAAACATTATACAGTAAATTTGAATTTGAATGTACAGAAATGTTTTTTTAATTATATTTGAGCAAATAATGATTTTAACTCAAAGTTCAGCGTCCTCATAAATGAGATACAGAGACTATACAATATAAAAAATAACGCACTGAAATGTAATAAAACCAATACAAATAAAATGAATCATTAAGTCGATAGAAATACAATAGAATGATATTTTAATATGTGTGTACATGTGTATATTTGTATAAGATAAATGTGACATAACATATAAGGCTGAGACTCTTTGACCTCCTTCCTCCACATGATCCCCGTTACCCATTATTCGATTATCTCAGTATGTTGCTGTGGAAAGTATGAGACTTACTGAACACAATAATAAGAAAGAAATAAAAGGACTGTTTGGCTGCTTTGCTTTTTTAAACAAGTGTTTGATTTAATCCGACTTTACGCTGCAGAAAATCGAATTCTCATTAAATCACATCAAACGTCAGGATTTTCCTTCTTCGGACATGTACGGGTCGACCACAGGACATGTCGACACTCATTGGAGTCACCCATGGATGGATTATTCCAGTTAGATGTTGAAATGAAAGGCTAAAGACGAACGAGTGGCTGCTGTTTAGCACTTGTCATGCTGTTGTTAATCTGAACCATTGCTGCTGACGAAAGTCAATCACATAGATCCCGACACTTCATCGCATGCACGCTGCAGAGTCCAGTGAGTCTCCTGAAAGGCATGTGAACGATCATCAGAGTGAAATCCAAATCAAATCATTTCAAATCTAATCCAGTCGTTTTTGTTTTTGGTCTCTTCAAACTTTTGATCAGTCACGGGATGTCTAAGTAGATTTAAGCATAATGGCTGCCCCCTCGCTGCGGCAGCTTCAAATCTGGTCCAGGGCCTTTACTTGTAAGTCACCCCCCCCCCCCCTCCACCTCTGTGCCTGTCCTGTTTCCCCTCAAGAAATGCCAATCATTTTGGGGAAAAGGAAAACTAATATAAACAACCTCTGTCACATTTAATCGAGTTACATGTTTATTCTTCCTTCCAATAACCTCGTGACCTTTGGAATTACAGAATCTTGTGACTGCCCTCTGAGGGGACCCCACCCTGGGTGGCAACCGCTGCTTTTAAACAAACATTTAGTTTTAACTTTAAAGGTCCATTATGTAAGATTTAGGTGAAAGGAAACTATTGGCAGAGATTTTATGTAGAATAATCCTGTTGTTCTCACAAGTTCATTTCATCTAAATTGTATGAATTGTAGTTTTCTTTACCCCAGAAAAGGCCCTTTATATTCAAATACTTTATATTTACATCGAGGGGACCATGTTTTTTACATTAGTCCAGACTGAACAAACTAAACACCTTCTGAGTTTTTATGACAATTAAAGGCTACCACAGTTTCTTTTTCAAGGAGAGGGTGAGGTGAGGGGTGTTCAGCTGCAACATGCAATTTCAACACTAGATATCACAATATTCTACACACTGAACCTTTAAGGCGACTAAAAGGTTAAATGTAGGAGGATTGTCAAAGTGTGGGAGAAAATGGCGTCCTGAGCAACGAATGGAGTCACACAAGCCCTCAGTGTGTTCTGGTCCAAGCGCCTCTGTTTCGGTATCCGTTCCAGGCGCACATACGTGTTAATGAGAAATAATGAGAAATCATCAGGAGGTGGGATGAACAGGGGAGGATCATCCATACAGACAAACCCCTCGTGTTTAAAGTGAATCAGTATGGACCAACTAAACTTTCTGTTTATATTGTTGCGGTGTGTGTTCTTCTGTTCTTGATTAAGGAGGTTAAGTAAGTTGACAGATTTATTTAGTTGGTTATCTCCTTCTAAAGACTCATGTGAGGAGATTTATGTCCCGCTCCAGTTTATTTAAGGTGAGGGATTTGGGCACCTTCATCTTCCTCATCATCACTGTCACTCTGCTTGAGGTCTTTTACCATAAACATTCTTATTATATCTAAATAAACTGTCTGACTTTGTGCCATATATATTATACCTCATTATTTATCCCTTTGAAATATATCGACCAAGGGCGCTGTCGACAATGAGCCTGAATGATTTCTGGATTTTGTTGAATTCATATTCAATATAATTATCCCGCGTCATACGTGTGATTAGAATTAGCTAAAAACAAAAAACTTTTTGGTTAATTTTTATTGATTTTCCTGAAAATTGACTATATCACAATATATCTTAGCCCTGGGGAATAAAAACACATATAATAAGATAAAAATCCTAATTTTCTTGTATATTTCTCACCCACATTTCCAGTCCTTCTATAGGAACGTATTCTGCTGCTCCTAACACCTGGAGGATGATAAAATTCAGGAATATGCCTTTTGAAAAAAATATGTTATCCAGCAAGTCAAGTGGAAAATATAAAATTACATTTTAAAGGGTTTTTCTTGGCTTTGCAGGCAGAAGCGTGTCACCACACATGTATGTTATGACGTACGTGTGTGTGAAACATGTACCATGCAGACACTGTCAGCAGCTGTTGAAATCACACACATTCATTCTATTTTTTAGGTCACTCCTTTAACAGTGTAAGGGGTTAATAGGTTTCTTTCAGTGACTAATAAACCAATGAACAACAAGTAAAAAAAACTCTGTGGAATGAGCAGAAACGTATTGTTGGAACTGTGGGTCTGTAATTTAACTATTTTTGAGCCGTCAGTGGACTCATCATCTTCCTTTCATGTCGGAGCTGCGTCAGATCTGATTCACACGAGGAAACAAGCACATTGGAGCCATTCACATCAAATCTGGGTTCTTCTCAGGTCGTCTCCATTCGATTTAATGTTATTTTGTTGTTGTTTGTTTGTTTGTTTTGATCTCTGTCTGCTTTTAACTAAAATGTCCTCAAATTGATATTCATTAGTGTTTTTGTGTTTTCCAGGATTAGCCGTTTCAAAAGAGTGTTTCCATGTGACACAAATTGGGATAATGAAAGCCTTAATTGCATAACAGGATTGATTACTAGAAAGCCTTCAGGAAGCACACAAGTTTCCATCCATGCATCTATCCAAGTCTGGATTAGATTATACACAGGACACACAAAAAAACATGGGTAACACGTCTCTAAGAGATTAAATGGGCCGGCACCACTTTATTTCGTTGAACTGTTGCATCTTTATACTCCACCCTGGGCGTGGTCAGGAAGTTCCGCGTTACACCTGCAACCACACCCAACGCACTTTTTAAAACCCGGCAACAAGCACTTCACCTTTAACTTCGAAAGAAAAGCATCAACAGCAGGAGAGGGTCAAAGTGGTTTGTGGATGATAATCTATGACTTTTTATTGAAATCTGTTTCCACAAAAACCTCAACACATAAACAATGCTTCTCTTGTGT